ATAGAAGAAAAAATAGATCTTCAATCATTTGGAACTATCCATTAGAATTGAACTATCCAGAATGAGATTGAAACTATCCAAAATGAACTTGAAGTATTTGGAAAAGGATTGTAGAACTAATCGATAAGGATATTACTAGATAAACTAAATTTATAGACAAAATTTGCAAACTAATTAAATGATGTGTCACCAATAAGTATGAGCATGTTTATCATGCTTAAGTAATAATCTAATATCAATTTCCATGTCATTTAATTTACAAATTTTTTGTTTACAAAGTTAGTCTCTCTAGTATTACCTAATCAATAATGATTATCGCTGGTGGTGGCATGGTGATTGGTTGGGTGTAGTTAGAGGAAAAAGGGAATTGAAATTAGGAATTACTCAATTGGGATAGTGAATACAAAATGGTAATGGATGGAGATATCAGGCAGGAGGAAAGCGAATCCTCTCTTGATTTATTATTTTTAATTAAAAAAAGTCTCCCTCATATGACCTAAGAAGAAGACTTGTTTTTTATTTTGTTTTAAATGGTTTGGTTCAAAACAACGTTGTCATGACGAAATCTTTTAAAAAATAGAATAGTCTTCTTCTTTTTTTTTTTTTAATAATTTGCAAAATATGGACCCGTCCGTCTGATGTTGTACCCTTCTCCTCCACCACATGCTTAAGCTTGGGTGGTCCTTAGAGGTCCTCATAGCCACTTATCTTTTCTAGTCCCTTAGTGCATCCGCCATTGATTGCCCTAGAAGGTTTTTAATGTAATTTCATCTCCTTTTTTTTTTCCAAAAAAAAATTGTGAAAATCAAGTCGCAACAAACAAAACTATGCGGCCCTTTATTTTGAATATTGGAAGTTCTTCTTGGTCCATTATGTATAGTAAATCAAAACTTTCCAATTCTTAGAGTAGAGAAATGGAAATTATCCAATTAATATTTATTAGAAAAAATAAAGAAGTAATTGACGATAATAGAAAATAAATGCAGGGTTGCACGATGAGAATTGTATATTCCATTTAGCATTATAATGTTTTTCATGCTCTCCACTCTTAAGCGAGACTCCATACCAGATAACAACGGAAGCCAAGGTCTCATTGTCCTTACGACTTCAACTAGCGATTGGTTAACGGCTTATTTTTTTATTGGTGATACATCATTTAATTTGTAAATTTAATTTAACAATTTAGTATACCTAATATCATCCAACTCTAAAATCTGAATGCCCTTTGTTTTTCCTCGGTAACCGTATGAAAGTTTTGCTTATTCTTCCTATTATTGGAGTCTCTTTATTGTACTTCTCTTCTATTATGAAATTGTAACTAGGGGTAGACACTTGAAACAAAAAACACGAATAAAATTGAACCGCACCGAAATGTTCGATTTTGCGGTTTTGAAATCGAACCGTACGGTAGGAAACAGTTTGGTTTCGGTTTTGACTTTTGAAAACCGCACTGAAACCAAAATTGTACCTCAAATTAAATGTCATACTTTAATTGGTTGTTTGTTAGAGTCCATACATTTAGTATGAACTCAATTACACTAGAATGTCATCCCTTTCCACCCTTATTCTATTTAACAATTATTACTTATCAATGCAGCATTTCGAAGAGGAAGAGCTAGCCTGCATTTCTTTAGAAAACAGAAGAGTAGATTAACAAAATCCTCCCCAGCTACAAACCATGTTCTTAGGCCATCTCCAACCAATGGTTGGCCAGAGGGCTCGTTTTAGCCCTCTGGCCTTCCAAGATTCTCCAAGATATTAATATTTTAATGAACAGTACATGGCCATATTTGCCTCCGTCTCCAACCGAGGGCCAGAGGGCCAGAGGGCTCGTTTTAGCCCTGTCACAAAAAACCGTCTCCAACCGAGGGCCAAAGGGTCATAGGGCCAAACATAATTTATTATTTAAAAACTACAACTTAATTTTATTTAAAAATCATGTTGGTTAATGTTGTATAATTTTTATGTTGGTTAATGTTATTTAATGTTGTTTCATATTGTTTAATGTTGTTTCATGTTACTTAATTTAATTTAATGTTGTATAATGGTTTAGGAAGTTATAGGAAAAAAATAGAATTTAAAAAAAATATGAAACAAATTTTGTGAAATAGAAGTTATAGGAAAAAAATGGAATTTAAAAAAAATATGAAACAAATTTTGTAAAATAGAAGTTATATGAAAAAAATATGAACCAAATTTTGTAAAATATAAGTTATAGGAAAAAAATAGAATTAAAAAAAATTGAAACAAATTTTGTAAAATAGAAGTTATAGGAAGTTATAGAAAAAAAAAGAAAAAAAAGGTTTAAATTCATAAAAAAAAAAAAAAAGGTTTACAACGGCTAGTGGCGCTAGCCGTTGGAAGTTTAAATTCAAATTGTTATTTCTGTCGGTTATAACCGAGAGAAATAATATATATTATATATATTATATTATTTCTGTCGGTTATAACCGACAGAAATGAGAAACATTAAAAAAAAAAATAGCCAGCCCGGGGCTGGCTGGCTGGCCGAAAGCAGCCAGCCCTCCAGCCCTCTCTGATCCCGTGGGGCCCTCCCAGATTCCCGAGCCCTCTGGCCTAGCCTTCGGTTGGAGACGGTTTTAGGGCTATTTTCGGCCCTCGGGCCCTCTGGACCCTTCGGTTGGAGATGGCCTTAGATTTAATAACCATAAGCTTAATAGTAGATAGTGCAAATTAACACTTGCATTAGGATTAACATGTAATTTTCTTGTGCAAACTTACAATTTTTTTGGTACTATACCAGCTTAGTAATTAACATATAAGGGTGCAAAAACAAGTGCTTATATCTATATACATGGAGTTGGAATATATGTCATCTGTTACAAAGCAAATATAGTGTGTTGACTTATAAACAATTCTCCCATTCTCCCCATGTACATGTACAGTGTAGGTTTTATTAAGCTAATCAACCCCTGCTGCCAAATACAAATCTCCTTCTTGGCCAAGTGAAAAACATGCAGAAGATTCTATTTTATTAATTTTCAGCATAAATTAACACTTAGATTAGATAGGTGTAAACATGTATTGTGTGGAAAATGAGGCCGTCTTATGTGTAGATAGGGTGTAAATTTTAAACTGTACATTTTTTTCTTTTCAAAAACTAAACCAAAACCATTTGAAACCACACCAAATCAAACCAAACAGTTTGGTTTCATTTCAGTTTTGGCGCACGTTAAAACTAGGTGTGGGCATGACCTGGGCCGGGGCCAAATTTGGAGGGACTGGACCGGACCCGTTTTTAAAATGCAATGGGACGAGGCGGGGCGGGTATTGAAGTTTTTGAATTAAGAACCGAACCTAACCCGGTCCATGTTAAACGAGCCGGTTAGGGCCGGGTCCACAGGTCCAACAGAAACGTTTCATTCTGAGTCTCGTCTTCCTCCGACGTCGTGAAACCCAGATGCATCAATGACCAAATGGTCATATGCCCAAGACAGATCGTCAGCCGCGGCGACGACGCCTTCAACACCATCTTTTCCTACACCGATGATGGAAAGCACGTCCATCGTGTCATCTTCGTCGATCTAGAGCCCACCGTCTTCTCTGATCTGGAGCCTTGCGCCATGTTCGTCCAAGTAAAATTTCGATAAAATCAAGGGTGAGAAATAAGAGATGGAAGAAATGGTGGGTTTCAATTTGGAATAGAAGAAGAGAGAAGGCTATGGAAGGTTTTAAAATGATAGAGCGAGATTTCCTTGAGGAAATTGCCAAGTTTGTTTGATATAAACTTTGGAAGGTTTCATAGTATGATAGGAATGGGCCCATCCATTCATCTAAATTGGTTGGTTTCTAACTTTCTAATCCCCCAGCAAAGCCCATCCATTGTATAATAGAAACGGGCCGGTCTCGGGCCTCATAGGTCTCAAGATTTGGAACCGCCCCGCCCCCGTCCCATTCACTCTCTAAAAAAATTGGACTCGCCCCGAACCGTGATTACCCGCCCCGACCCTAGGGTCCCCTACCCGTTTGCCCACCCCTAGTTAAAACTGCACATCGCACCGTAAAATGTTTCAGTTACAGTTGCGATTTCACTCAAAATTGCACTAAACTGAACCGTGCCCACCTCCAGTCATAACTTAACCATAAAAAAAACTTAAGACCTAGTGGTTGTGCAATGCAAATGTATCGGTTGCACGGAATCACACTAATCAACTCAAAATAATTCATTAAGTTGCTCGAGAGTTACTTGGAACATCCCATGGTTAAGGATGAGCATCTTTTCTGGATCCTCTTTGGGAGAAATCCGGGGATCACTTCATCATGTTCGTTCATTGTACATCATGTGATCACTTTTCGTCAGGTCATGTTTGTGTTCAATTTTAAACAAAAATATTTTGAATTGATTTTTTATCACAAGATGACAAATGAGTGAACACGATAAAGTAATCTCTGAAATCCTCGTCCAGAAGATTCTGAATAGGATCCTATTCCCATGGTTATTACTTATATTATAATATGGCTATCTAATATGTCTATGTTTTACAACCAACAACTCTATTTAACATCTTATATAATTCAAAATTATTTAGTTGGTTCCTATCAAACAACAAACTTTTTTTTTTTTTTTGTTTTCCAAAAAAAAAAAACAACAAACTTTTTCTTATAACTGCAATACTGAAAAGTACTATGATAAAAAAATAATATTGATAAATAAAAGCGGTTTCTAAATAACAAATTCCAAACAAACCATTAAAATATTTTCAACCTTTCAAATGGGAAAGTGAGTGCTCTAGAGAGCCCTATGCCTACTCTATATATACAAATATATACTTGGCGAAGGCGTTATAATATGGAGGAAGATTGTATTCCCTCTCCTCTTTGGGCGTTTTTTTCATTTCTTTTTATTTGTACAGTTATGATTAAGTTAAGTTAATATTTTATTTTTTTATTACTTTTTATCTTATTATTTTTATAAAAAAGTTAATATAAAACGTTCATGTGACTTAACCGTGACTGCATAAAATAGGAAGGAATGAGAAAGACACCCAAACAGGAAGACAGACAATCTGCCTCTCCCATATAAACAAATACTCACTTTGTTTTCATTCCCAACCATCCCCCTCCCTCACTTGCTCAGAAGATCATCATTATTCTCTTTCTGAGATCATAGAGAGAGAGAGAGAGAGAGAGAGAGAGAGAGAGATGGAAGAGACAAAGTCGAGATTCAATAGGATTTGTGTTTTTTGTGGTAGCAGTTCAGGGAAGAAGGCCAGCTACCAAGAAGCTGCTGTTGAACTTGGGAAGGAACTGGTAATCAACGTTCGATTCATTTTTATATTTTCTCTTTCAATCTCTCTCTTTTTGTTCTTATATATTCATCCTTTTGGGTTCCAAAATTCCCACATAAATTGGAACAGTTCATCGCCGAAAGATCTATGTTTCAGAGAAAGTGTTTAATCGTATATATGTGCATATATACCAAATTGATCTATTTCGGTTTTCTGCAAATGATTCTACTCCTGGGTTTCAGAGAAGCCATATTTATCTTCTTTGACTTTCATAGGAATTTGGATTTAATGCATTGATACATTGTTTCCATTTTTGGTTAATGTAATTTCCTAAAACAATGTTTGTGGTCAATTCCTAGTCTTCCAATTTTTAAATTTTCTCCTATTTTGGTTTGCTCCTATGGAAGCTTGTAAAAAGAAGAATAGAAGCAAACCACGAGGACGGTGCTTCGAACTTGGGTGCAGAGCGAAAGCTCACTACTCTAGCCAATTTGTCCAAGTTTTCTCAAGTAGTGTGGAGGTGTGAAGGGTTGCGTGTTGCAACCAAACAAGCCTTCAACGTGGGCTTATCATTGTTCAAGACCTAGAGCTAGCTAGCATTGAGCCTGATTAGGGTTTATGTTTGGCATGAGAGAGAGGGAGGGAGGGAGGAAGGAGAGGGTGCAAGCTGTAAACTGGCTGTCAGTTAAGCGGCTTTCTTGCATGATCTGAGTTTTGATTTTAATTAAACCCTTTTATTTTTATAAAATAAATTAGTTTTGCAGCAGTAGTACCGGCATCTATGTGGTTTTTATTAATTCTCTCCAGGCGGCCAGGAGGGAACCAAACGTGCTCTCTCGGTATCATGACCCTTTAAAGCGTGTTCACAAGCTTCCATGACTGAACCTCATCTCCATGATTTTTGTTTATGGGGTTCTTCCATGACAAGAAATTTAATACCTATTTTTTGTAATAATACTAATTAATGTTCACTCAGTAGCCTCTTTTTACCTAGTTAGGGTTTTTAATTTAATACCTATTTGCTGCCATTCTTCTTCAAGTTTGTTTCAATCAAATCATACTCTAATTTATATTTTATGGGAACTGGGTTTCTGACACGTTGATGGGTTTTTAATTTCGATGTGTTTTTGGAAGGTGGAGAGAAGGATTGATCTGGTCTATGGTGGTGGAAGCGTGGGATTGATGGGTCTTGTTTCTCAGGCAGTTCATGATGGCGGGCGCCATGTCCTAGGGTTTGTAGCGCTCGCTCGCTCGCTCTCTCTCTCTCTCTCTCTCTCTCTCTCTCTCTCTCTCTCATATACACACAACACACGCATAAGCTACCGTAATGACATGATTGGCCAAATTGGGTTGCATTCTTATTTTTTATTGAACCATACCATGCAAATTAATCCCTATTAAAGTATTCGGTACTGTTCACTTGAACGAAAAATTATATTTTTACACTAAAAAATCAATCATGGTACTATTCATTTTACCCTTTATTTTGTTCTTATCATTAAAACTCAAAGTTTTCAAGTCATTTTCATTAGTTTTCTTTATTTTATAATGGAATTTGTGCATTCCCTTCTTCCATTTTTTTTATTGGGACAAAAAGGTTCACATATTTATGCAAAATTACCGTGTCGTCTGGTATTGTAAACATGGTTTCGAACCGCTTTATGTGATCTACAGTAAATTCTAAAAGTTAACCTCCTTTAAATTCTTACAATGTCAGTTCCCTCTGGAACTTCCAGTTAGAAAGATTTACAGAAATGGAAAATATAATTGGTAAAATTATGGAGACTTTTAGAGAAAGTGACATTCCATTTTGTAAAAAGCCTGCTTTCCCTGTAATGTAAGAGCCCTTGGTCTCGTAAAAGTTTAAACACGTTCTGTGAAAACACAACTGCTCCAAATTAGCATGGTCAATGCCCCTTGCTAGGTCGAAGCGGATGTCCCCAAATTGCTAAATCTTTGATCAATTAAATATTCAAGTATATGCCTACTAGGCCATGAGGAACTTTTAGTAAATTCATTTGTTAATATATACTAGCGGATGCCCACACATTGTGAACAATTTCTTTTCATTTTGTTTTTTTATTATGAAGTGGAATTAGTTTTTAAAATTTAAAAAAAATAAATCTGTTATGAAAATTGGAATAATGACAAGTGGTTTCTTCTAACGTGGGAATACTTTTTATTTTATATTTTATTTTATTTTAAAATAGGACATGATATACTAACCTGGTTGTGAGTTTGCTGTAAATAAAACATAAAAACTTATGTTCATATAGTTACAAAATTGAACATAAGTTTTATTAATGCCTAGAGTTTTGGTTGACAACCAAAGTGTTATTAATAGGTAGTGTCGATATAGTGGTTTGCTGATAAATGTTCATGTGGTGTTTTTGCAGTGTTATTCCGAGGACATTAATGCCTAGAGAGGTACATTTAAAGGCTTAAATGTGCTGATTTTAAGTGATACATTTGCCGATCTCTAAATGATTAATTAATTATGTGATCTGATTAAATTGTTGTAGATAACTGGTGAAACTGTTGGAGAAGTGAGAACTGTCTCAGATATGCACCAAAGGAAAGCCGAGATGGCCCGTCAAGCTGATGCTTTCATTGCCCTCCCTGGTATGGTTTTAACCCATGAATCGGACATGTCACTTGTGAAATTATTATTGTTGTCGAATGTTAAAGTTAGCGTGAATAGCTGATTGTTAACTGTTATATATGTGGAATTTACTCTTGATTTACACGCATCTAGGGTTGAAAGCCATCCATGTGCATGTGAAGTTCTGAACCATTATCCAAATCAACTCTCAATTGTTTTTGTAAGACCCTTTAATTGAAATTATTATGTTCAGGTGGCTATGGTACCCTAGAAGAATTGCTGGAAGTCATTACCTGGGCTCAACTTGGAATCCACCGCAAACCTGTAAGAAAATCTCTAAAATTTATCCACCCCCTTTTTATACAAGGGTTTGCATGTGATTCCAAACTTTACAAGGAAGCAAGCCCTCACATGATTACATGTCGTATGTTTGTTCAAATGTAGTTGTGATCTTGTAGATAACTGTTGATGTCCCCAAATTTTCTACTAAACCCTAATTAAGAATCAATTTCTTCACATTATAGAATATTTTATTGTGTCATTGTCTCCATGAATTAATAGGTCTATCATATGCCTACGATTTGTAAATATACTATGTTTCTTAAGTACACGATTCTCTCTCTTTCATTTTATAATTCCATAAGTATTAGTTAGCATCGTTGACGGGAGATGATATTTGTGGTGATGTGAGTCAATCTTATTGAGTGGTATGGATGTATGAGAAAGCTTCATATAATAGAAAATCAATGCATGTGGTACTTAATTCTAATTCACATGGAAAAATAACATAAGTTAGGTGGTTGATTATTTGGAGGATCTCCGTTTGAATGGGAGAAATCTTCTCAAATTTAATTTTTTAAGGTTTAAACAAAGTGAGGTTGTTGGTCAAAAGAAGGGTGTTGTTGGTCACAAGACAATGAGGACATATGAACGACATACATATAATATGGAGATTAAATGGGTGTTTGAAGTTGATATTATTAATGAATTGATTGATTAATTAAATAATTTAGTTAGAATTACTTGTTTTTTGTAGGTGGGGCTTTTGAATGTGGACGGTTACTACAATTCGTTGTTGTCTTTTATTGATAAGGCCGTTGATGAAGGCTTTATTTCTCCTACTGCACGGCACATCATCGTGTCTGCTCCAACTGCAAAGCAATTGGTCAGACAACTGGAGGTAATGCTTCGTGCCTATTTTCATCATATCATATGCATCATAGAATAGAATATGATCATCAAGATGAATAATTAACGGACTGGATCGATGTGGTATGGTTTGAGGACACTCCCAAGTCCCTGAGGTGTTCAAACTATGCCTCAATGATGCTCATAGATTCCCACTGATCCTATGCATGTGCTTAAGTTTTGGTAATATAAGGATGGTCTGGACAGAGTAGACTTTAAGCTTAGATTTTTATATAACCAAAAATGAAGATATTTCCATTGTATAATATGGATGCAACTCTCTCAATTGAGAACAAATAAATAAGAGAACCTTTGCATTGTTATGGGTTGGTCTGGTTCAATCTGGTTAAGAACTTTGGGTCCATCCCAACTCCATCTGGCTAACCTTGGCGACAATGCTGGGTTGGGGGAAAGGCGTCCTTGTCCCCAGTTGCATACAATTGGATTTCAACTAAGTTTACTATTCTCAGTACCAAGGTTTAGATTTGTTTGAAGATTTACCTAGGGTTTCTAGGTTAGAATTGTTGCGTAGTTTTTGTTGTTTAACTTCTCCCTCCCATGTTACCAAAAGTAAATGTGTATTTTCGTATAATTTCATCAGGGAAGATTAGTACGAAACTACACCGTAATTTACAAATTTACTTAATGATATGTTTTGGTATTTTGGCCTCAGGAATATGTACCAGAGCACGATGAAATAACATCAAAGTTGGTGTGGGAAGAGGTGGACAGAAAAAGTTATGTGTCTGAACCAGGAGTAGCAACGTGATGTGTCGCTCAACTGATCATGCAAAAGCCCTCCTTTTTTTGCGTTTTGGGTTTCACAGTATATACGGTTAATTTACGGTACGACACCGTACATCAGCAGCAGCAGCAGCGGCAGAGGAACTTTGGGTTTTTTGTTTTTGTAGCTGAAGCCAGAAACTCTCTCAAGGTCCTCTTATAATATATAGGAAAAAAGAAAAAAAATTGAAAAAGATGAAGGAAATGCATTGCCCTTTTTGTAAAACTGTGAAGGAATCAATTCAAGTTTCTTCTTGGCTAGCTACATGGTTGTTCTACTGTGTCGATTGTTTAATTTGTGACGATGTCTTCTGGACATGTATAGTTTCTACTTTAAATTTGTGAGGAAAATGTTAGCAGGTTATACGAAAAGATGTATTGCAATAGGAAATTAAATTCCATTTCAGCTTCTTTACTCTCAGAAAATGTCATTGTGTAAGTTATAACAACTATATATGATATATTCAGTTTTTTATTCTAAAAAAAAAAAAAGATACTCAAATTGAAGTCTCGAGTTTGATATTTCAGATTTTGTTATGTTTTTTCTTATAACTAATGATCTCTGACTATTGTTAAAAAAAAATGATTTCTGAACTATTCGAAAACTTGTCATTTGGCCCTCAAACTTCAATTTTGTTTCTTGACAAACAGTAGCGTCAGTGAGTTAAATTATTAGTTGTTAGGAAAGATAATGGGTAGTGATCAAACCCATTAAGATGTGTAGGCGTGATTGCTTTTCGCCACTATGATAAAACGCCATATGCCTCAAACTTCAAATTTGGATATTGTTGTTTTTGGAGTTGAAATGAATATATGGAACATATCATTTCTTGGCACAATAGGCCGAATAACTATTTTTCTTCTCAGCACGTATTCAGGTTCTTGTAGTTTAGTTGTTTATGAGCATTCACTCTTCCAATATCCGCTGTATAAAAAATTTAGAAGATTACTGGACCGATTACGTATTAGAAAAGGGCTTGTGTTTCATACATATATAGCATATTTAGCAGACTTGATATAGCAGCTAAGCAACATGACAACTGAGTTGACAGAAAACGACCAATTCACAATTTTTGGTTTTAATTTACAACAAACAGGAAGCATATGTTAGTTAGGCTTATAATTTTATAGTTAGCACCAATTAATGGTTGTGTTTGCTGCGTTTAGGTTACAATACAATTAAAAATAGTTTGTCATGAAACTTGAGGACAGCTTGTTGGTTGAGTTCTAAACGCCAGGTGGTGTCAGCATGTGAGGCACATGAAGATTATTAATGTCCAAATTGCACTTGATTAAGGATTTAAGTTAGGTATAGATCTAATGAATCAGAATAAGATCTTCACTCTCAACTCAATAGTCAATAAATCAAGGGCTTCTCTTGTTGTTGGGTGGCATATATAGCTTGGTATTTAGGTTATCTGCAAATCTTTTGCTCAAGTTCTTAGATACTTTGGTGGCTTCTAAATTTCTAATACTACTGGAAAAATGCCAAAAAGAATTAATGGGGAAATGCGAAACATGTTCATTTTATTTTGTATAAAGAATGTCAAAAATGTAAGTTGCTTGCTTATGTGCTAATCCAAGGGTGTACTTGGTCTTCATAAGAGACTTGAACCTTTTTTTCGGGTTGAATGCACTGCAACATAAATAGGTCAAGAAAGAAACAAGTTTAACACTTTTATGAGTATAAACTCATATAATTTAGCATAAACTATAAAGAAATGTTATTGGTATTTCAAAATTTTTATTTTGCGGTCATTAGAAGTCTATTTTTCTTTTTAAATATAGAAAATTTTGGAGTATATAATGAGAATTTTAGAATGCTAATAACAATTCTCTAACTATAAAGAGATTTGATTGATGCTTGATTGGTACCAATCAACGATTGTCAATCATTTGTGCATGGGTGCATAGATGATTAACGTGTGTTAAGTTGGGTTAAAGTATAATCATGATCGAGTAGTAAAAAGCAAGAGGTTTGGACATTCGCGTGGACATACCAATCGCTAGAGGTGGCAAATCAACTCAATAGGTTGTTAATAGTTACCGGTTAAGACTTGTTTAATTTGATATCACCATAATACAGACGTGAGGTTGGTAGTGTTAATGATGGTGTAAAGTGAAATCAAACTAAATGGGTCTTATGGGTATCCATTAACAAATGAATAAGTTGATTTACCACCTCTCCCAATCGCCCCAACCTTGGTGATCATTTGGATAGTACCAATTGTTGCATTGAGGGAGCTTTGAAAAATGTGATTATAAACCCTAATTACAAGTGAGTGTGAGGAAACACTTTTGAGTATATGTGATTGTGCTCCTCCTTCTCTGATGGTGGGTATCTTGTGGCAACTGGACAACCTAGCTCATATTGAGTGAACCTCGTAAGTCCTTGTGTTTGTATGATTAGTTTACTTTTGTGTTTCTTCGCGTTTATTTTGTTTCGCCCTTTTTACCTATAGGGAATCTAGAACTTGATATCCTAACAAAGCATGCTAGGAAAATTCAAAATCCTAATCATCACAGCAGCTGAAAATTTCTCTAATGACCTCAACTATGGTTCAACAACTTCTATGTCCGAACTAAACATTTGGATTCGAACATAAAACTTCAAATGCACGGGTAAATGCTCTAAACTACTTAAACTACTCACCCCTTTTACAGACAGTCTAAAATATATAGTTACACCTTTCTTTTTTGGTCTGAAGTTTATAACCTGCAAATACAAACCCTTGTCGACAGTTGGTCTTAATATGATCGTATGACTGAAGTAATAGACAGCATACTACTCTCCGTGGAAAAATTTGATACAACTGTTGATTAAAAAAAACATATATAATTTCTGCCCAAAGCTGTATTTCTAGTGTTTTGGGGAACCAAATTGACAAAGCGATATTCTAATCTACTTTAATTTGCAAGGAAGGGGATTCAAACTTTGGTTGTCAGGGACCATGTGCGCACAAACTTAACCAACTAGCCTAGTCCACGTATGCTGGGAACCAAACTTAAGGTAATTTAGCATAGTACAAGTTGCTGCTGTTTTGGGTAAGCTGTAGTGAGTACCTCTAAAAGTTTGCAGGGCTGTCATCCAATTGCTTCTCATCTTCTATATCAACCTCTAAAATTTCCTGAGATCGAACAAGGACTAGATTTTCATCACTGAAAGAATAAGACAGTGATTTTTTGTGTAAAAAATAAAGTAATACTGATCAGTTGGCGTTAACTAACTCACAGGGATCCTCTGCTTGAGATAATTGGCCAGTCTAGCCAGAACCACGCTCCGTTCGTGCCAAAACCGGCCTTTCAGACTGATCTTCACAAAGGGTCCGTCAAGTTCAGCAAGGTCTACTTGTCCTGCAAGTCATCTCCTTATCTTAACTGATTTCCCACCACCAGAAACAACAACATAACTGAATCAAAAAACACAAAAGATAAGTAAGTTCAACCTGTCATGCCAACTGAAGTGTCGAAGAGCTGCCCGAATTCAACCCTTGCATCGGCTAAGACCTGTCGAATATTGTCTTCCGTTAGATCGAGAGGCTGCGAAGGCTGAACCGCTGCTGCTGCCAATATTGTTGAGAATTTCGTGCTAGTTTTGGTTCCCAGTGTTGCTGGGAACGTGGAGATCATTAGCATTGGCCTTTGCGTGGGGTTGTGGTTGGCTGTTTTCAGGATCTGGGTTTTGGAGATATGATGACAGGTAATGGGAAGGGTTAGTGTTGAAGAATGCAGAACTCCTTCCATTCCAAAAGCTTCTCCTTCAATTTGCCTTCCAAAGACAAGAAGCTACAATGATTGGTAGAGAAATGGATAATGGCCACTTATCTTTAGTGGATAGAATTTACTTGCTCAAAAGCCTCTAGCTTGCTGCTCTACTAAGCAGTCATGTGAGATTCCACCTTCATTTTTAAGCACATTGTGAGATTCGTCAAAAGTTCAGACTCCACCAAAAGTCATAAATTCGAATTTCGCGTGCTGTGTAACCGAGGTATTGAAACCAAGGTGAGGTTGAAACAACGCAAAACCCAATTGTCAAATGAATAACCCGTCAGAGAACTAAGAAATCTTACATGTGCTTATAAAGAGTTCAGTTATTCGTATTTGCCATTTGGCTTCACGGCGGAACCCTATACTGAAATAACCACTTGAGTAATCAAATGGCGGAACCCTATACTGAACTAACCACTTGAGTAATCAAATTGCGTAACGATAATAAAAGTTGCGGGTTGATCTTATTCATTGACTATTTAGCTTGTATTATCTTGTCCTCACTTCAAATTCTGAATAAGATGACGATATGAAGATTAGTCGGACCGAACCGACCCTTGCCCGGAAAATAGAAGCAAAAGAGAACTGGGACGATGATCATTCTCTCCATCTTACAAGTTTCTGATCAGATAAAATTACATAGGCTCAGCCTGTTTCCATGATAAAATAGAGTGACAACAATGAAATTGTATGCTACTTGAATATGCTGAAAATCGGGCAAGTCCCATTGATTGGGGTTTATTGTGACATGCTGATGCTCAAAATGATCAAGGATTGAAAAAAGAGGTTACACGAATACAAAACTCGTTTACACGTCCTATTTGAGTCCGACATGGACACGCAGTGTACTAGCTCTATATTGCGGAGAAGTACTCTTTGCTGCCCTTGGGGTCTGGCTTCATGGACTTCTCCCCGGGCTTCCACCCTGCAGGGCAAACTTCATCGGGATTGTCCTGCACGTACTGCAAGGCCTGCAGGATCCAACCCAAGCCAAGAAAGGGAAAGAAAAAAAACGATTAGAAAATGTAATATGAAACATGATGACGAAATTCTTAGCTATACAACAGAGCTTGGAAACGAAAACATCCCATTTCTATTTTGGGCTTGATGAATATGTTTACCTGGAGCGTTCTCTTAGTCTCATCCACACTACGGCCAATGGCAAGATTGTTAATGGTGGAGTGTTGAATGACGCCTTCCTTGTCAATAATGAAGAGTCCTCTCAAAGTGATTCCCTATCACAGAGAAACCGAACTTCTAAATAATCCAGAATTCACAGCACTGAGTCTTTCACAAGTTGATCATTCGTTAAATTCAGAACCAATTTTTATTAGATATCATACCTGATCTGGGATCAGCACACCATACGATTTTGAAATTGACTTGGTGACATCGGAGATCAATGGATAGTTCAAGTCACCAAGACCGCCAGACTTCCTATCGGTTTGGACCCATGCAAGGTGGGAAAACTACAAAAAAAAGACAGCATAAGGCCAACGCGGTTCCATCTTACCAATCTAAGGAAGAGCAATTTTAAAACTATTTTACATCAAAGGAACAAGTCAGATGTACATAAGCAAAAGAATCGCAAAGGAATCGCAGAAGAATACGCAGATTCACATCATTCTTCAACCATTAGCGAGAACACAACATTCTGATATCACCAATCTTAGTAGCTCCTTTTGATTAACCTCAAATATAGTATTCTGGGTGCATTCTTTTTCCTATTTCAACTTTGCAATTTTTATTACAGTTGAATATCCTCATTGTCTATTGTGTGTTCTTTCTCCACCAACAATGCGAATTAACCTCTTGGCTCAACCGAAACCACATGCATTGTCTGCAACCCGTATCGTGAGGCCAATTTCATTTTTCAAAGTCAAAAATCCCAAAGCATAAGATTGATATTTTTAGAACCCACGATACGGTACATAATTGTTTACTTTTAACAAAAAGGTCGTACCCAGTGCACAAGGCTCCCGCTTTACGCAGGGTCTGAGAGAGGTGAATGTCGGCTAGCCTTACCCCCATTTATGGAGAGGCTGCTCCCAAGGTACATAATTGTTTACTAATAAAAAAAAAAGAACAAAGCAGGCAAATAGTTCAAGGTGCAAGTTAGCATATTAACGCGTGTGCATATGCAGCTATTAGCCTTTGCAAAAGACCAAGGCTACAACATGTCTAGGCCGAATATTGACTTTTTCGTGGCATGTCTAGGCAGAATATAGACTTTTTTATGGTATGTCTGGCAGATTGTGGTATTGAAGATAGCGGGGAGCAGGGCAACTTACCACACTGTCAACTGAAACACCCAAGATTTCTGTGTTGAGCTCCGCAAACTCTGCGTGACGGTCACTGAAAGCGGTGATTTCTGCAAGTTGGGTTCACAAATTTTGAACAAAGCAATCCGATTCAGTTAGATTCATTCAGCATCCATGAAAGATTAAAAACTTGTATGAAGAATTGGAGATTGTGAAAGCAAAACAAACCTGTAGGACAAACAAATGTGAAGTCCAATGGGTAGAAAAAGAGAATCACATACTTCTTCCCAATGTACTCAGAGAGCTTGACCTGAAATCCCACACCAAAGCTTCAGTTGCAATGAAACAATTTCAGACTCGTTTGAGACTGCTTTTGCAGAAAGCTCTTTTTTTATAGAAGCATTGAAATTTTCACTGAAAGTTCCTAGAAAATCACTTAGAAATGCCTTGAAAAAGCATCTGACATATGCTTCTCTAGAAAGCGCTTTTATGACCCAAAATCATTTCAACTTTTTTCCAACAAACCCAGTAAGCGTTTCTGGTTGTAGAAAGCGCTTTTAGTACACTCACAAGCAAATTACAGAATGCGATTGCAGGAAAAAAAATCAAAAGCTATGAGTTAAATTAAAGATACGACATTGACGAATTCTTGGTCGAAAACAGCCTCGGCTTCGAAATCAGGAGCAACATTTCCGACGAGGGGAAGCTCGCCGGCGGAGGCTTTGACGATGAAGGACTTGCGGGTGTGGGAGTCGCCGCGGGGGAGGGAGGCAGAATGGGCGACGCGCGGGAGGCGGAGGCCGTGGATGGATTTGGGGAAGTTTAGGGTTTGGGAGATAGGTTTGGAGAAGGCGGCGACGAGAGGGGTGGATTTGGTGGAGGAGAAAGCGCGGGAGGGGACGGAGGAGATGAGGGCGGCGGTGGAGGCAGCCATGGTGGTTGTGGAGAGCTCAGCCACTCAAGTCAGTGATGAATAGTGAGTGATGTGGGCTGGGAAGTCTAAGGTGGAGAAAAGGGTTGGGGTACAGTGTGAGGATAAGTAGTGGGTAGGAGGCAGACCAACAGGATCCTCTCCGGCTCTTTTTAACAAGAATTTTGAAAATTCGTGAATCGTGTCCGTTCATCGTATATCGTGTGATCAGTTTTTGTCAAGTACTGTTTGTATTGAATTTTAAATAAAAATATTTAAAATAATTCCTGACCGCACGATGTACAATGAATGAACATGATTGATGAATTCTTGAAATCTTTACAAAGATGATCCGACGAGGATCTGAATTCAAAGGGAGGAAGGGTTGGTGGGACCTAGGTTTGAACTGAACCGGCCAACCGGCTACATACATTTGGGGGCAACCGGAAATGGGACAAGAGTAAGGGATTTGGTTTGTAGAGTCTGATTTCTTGGTGATCAATTCAAAAGATGGACACTATTAATAAAGTGAGGCTGATCTTGATTTGATGAAGTCTTGGTTTACTTTTAGGCCGCGGCGGACACAGGATTTGAAATTTAGGGGTTCCAGGGTTCTTAAAGTATAAGTTTTTAAGATACAAACAAAGCGAAAAGCGTATAAATTTATTTTCAGTTTGTTCATTAAGGTATTTCGTTAGCTAAATCATATTGTGCACATGTCACTTGTATTAACACATATAGAAATAATTTGATGAGTGATATCGAGATAATTTTTTTAGTGTTGTCAATGCAACTTGTCGAGATATGCCTAGCAAACATTACAGCAAACACAAAAAAAACTCGTATCAAACATTCAAAGAGTCATTAGAACAAGTGTTTTTCAAACCCGAACCACCTTAGTCTCAATGTTCATTTGCCAATACTTACAAGGAACATACACAGAAGAAAGATAAACCTCGTCCCATATAAGTGTCTCCCCTAAAGCTAGGCTCATTTGTGCCTATCTACGTGATTTTAGGCTCAGTTACTCCGGGCTGGTCAGATTAGTCTGGACTCGGGTAGTATTCATTTTCTTAACCCGGCCCATTTGTGTTGGATTACTGATTTCTCCCTATACCCCTCACCAATCACAATCTCCACAATGCCATTGTTTGGAGCATTTTAAGCCTTATCTTCTTCATTCCCCCTTTTTCCCCCAAACCAAAGCTCTTCAGTCCTCAGCCATGACCAGCTGCGCCCAAACAACAACCAACCAACCAAATGCACGAAACCCACTTCCTCTCCACCGCCATCGCCGCCACCAAACAACCCCGTTTCTCCTCCATTCCCAATCCCATTCCCAAACCCCAATCCCCCTCCTCCTCTCATCATGACATCCACTCCTTTCCGCCGCCGAAGAAAACCCCCCACTTCCCAATCATCTCCTCCTCCAAAACCACGGCCTCCCTCAAACCCCCACCAACCACCGCCACCCCCCACTCCGACTTCCAAGAAAAAGTCCTCTACCTCGACTCCATCGGCCTCGACTTCTTCTCCCTAATCAACCACCACCCTCCGATCCTCTCCTCCCCTCTCTCCCACATCAAATCCACCGTCCACTTCCTCCTCACCTCCATCGGCTTCACCTCCCCAGAATTCCGCCGCCTCATCGGCATGTGCCCCGAAATCCTCTCCTCCCGAGTCGCCGAAATCGCCCCAATCCTCACCTTCCTCCTCCGCGAAGCCCACGTCAACGGCTCCGATCTCCGCCGCGTCATCAACCGCCGCCCCAGACTCCTCGCTTGCAGCGTCAAAACACGCCTCCGCCCCACCCTCTACTTCCTCCAGAGCATTGGTATTTCCCAAGTTAACAAACACACCTCCCTCCTCTCCTGCAGCGTGGAAGACAAGCTCCTGCCCCGAATCGACTACCTCGAAAAAATCGGCTTCTCCCACCGCGACGCGCTGTCGATGTTCCGGCGGTTCCCGCAGCTGTTCTGCTACAGCATCGAGCAGAACTTCGAGCCGAAATTCGATTACTTCGTGGTGGAGATGGGGAGGGGGATGAAGGAGCTGACGGAGTTCCCGCACTACTTCTCGTTCAGCTTGGAGAATCGGATTCGGCCGCGGCACCAGCGGTGCGTGGAGAAAGGGGTCTGTTTTCCGCTGCCGGTGTTGTTAAAGACGAGTGAGGCAAAGTTTCGCGACCGGTTGGAGTTTTGTTGTAATTCTTCCATCCCTTTTAGGAGTTCTCCTTTATGGGGTACAAATTCGATTGATTGAGAAAATTGAAAATATACAAGGCCAATTTCCAATTTTAACTAATTTACTCGTTAATATGAGTTTTTCGGAATGCTAATGACAATTTTCGTTAAATACCTTATTTGATTTTGGGTGAAACTGCGGAGATTTCTCGGGTTTAGGGGAGGTTTAGAAAATAATTTTGGAGACTTGATCTGTTATACGTTGTACAATGATAATAGTGGTATCATAAAGACATGATTCATAATGAGAATGTGTTTTTTGGTAGTAGTTACATCAATTGGTTACAAAGTTTGTTCTCATGATTGTTAAGGGTAATAGATCGCATAGTCAACAGCCCAAGTGCTTTAGTGAATTATCTTCAAGCTCAACCTTGATACGATATAAGGACATGTCCTTCGATAAAAAGAGGTCATTATTCCTCTATCAAGAAACTCAGGCCTTTAAATTCTCATTCATTATTTAGCTCAAACTTAAATATCAAAGAGTCTTTGCCTCGTACATCACTGATGTAACAAGTTCAAGCCAATTTATTCATTTTTGTTGAATAATGCAATTTCATATTGGAAATTTGAAAGAAAATATTACTACTTATAAATGAATGGTTTCGCTACTAATAACGAGACATCTGACAAGATCATTCTCATTGTGAACAAGACCCTGACTCGATCGTTCCAATTGTGAACAAGACTCTGACCTGACAATTCTGATTGACGACGAATTGTTATTGCTTGAGGAAAAAAGAAGGTTGCCAATGTAGAATTGGTTGGAGAATGCAATCTCACATCAGAAACTTGACATTATGTTTACTACTTGTTCATGAATGATTCCACTACTAATAACACCCATGCCTTTTATGATAAAATCTAACACCTGCAAGTGGTGACTAGTAGTGGACGGGCATCCCGACTCTAAAATCTTAACATTTCTTAATTTCAGAAACACTCAAATAATTTTACGTTCATGTGAAATTCATTTCCCACATTATTCACTCTTCGTAAATTAGAAGGAGAACAATACAGTATAATTATTTTTGGCACGTGTCATGGACCCAGTAGTAGTAGCACCAAAGTTATATATGTCCGTTGTGGTTAGCTGAAGTTAGGGTTGGAGGAGATGCGAGAGACGGTGAGAAATGAGCCGTCAAATAATCAGAAAATTTTGTTTAAAGCCAAATAAAGGCGCGGATCGGCGATTCTCCTTGTAATTTTCGTTTGTTGTCTTTTCTTCTAGCACGTCGTAGTTTTGCCCCATAGTTTTGGTATAATTCGAAACTGACCATTCAATATACTATTTTTCTAAAGATTCCACGCCGTTTGGTGCGTTTTACTTTTTCTTTTTCATTCCATTGGTATAAATATAAGAACATATTTTGGGATTACTCCATTTATGTTGGTCTTTTTGGACCTATTTATTTGGGTACTTCAACTAATTTTTAATTTTGGGCATCATAAATACATCGATTGCAAAACTTGTAAAGAGGTATAATATTTAAACGTAGTTTCTTGTACCTTATTGTAGTATAATTGCCGCTCTTGTATTAATTTTAATCATATCTCTTCTATTTGGTTCTTAATTAGAATATTACAAATAAATATGTGAAACATTTCTTTGTCTGGTGAAACAATAATAGAATTCGGAAACTTACCCATAGGAGTGCATGAAACCCGTGAAAGGGGTATTTCTTACGTTCGACACGACTTGAAAAGATATTTAATGCATCTTTATATTTTTAAAAATTACTCTAGTTGTAAATTTAATACACCACTTTTGAACATGAAACGTAACGTTCTTACTAAAAATATGTATGCATTTGATTCCTATTATTGCATTTGCATAAACCAAATGGGGAAGTGAAAAAAAAATGGTATTCCCTCGTCTACATTTTCCAATTATTTCCAAACAACAAAAAGAAGCAAGTGACATTTTACAACAGTAGAAAGAAGTTGAGTTTTTATATAATGGTGTGGGTTCAAATCCTGTCGATAACTAATCTAACATTTAATCTAACAAAATCAAACGTTTGACAAAAAAAAAAACAATAAAAAGAAAGGTTTCCATTCTCGCAGGGTCAGAACAGAAATACACAAGTTTCAGGGGTGGAAAATAGGAAAAAAAGTTGACAAATTAATATTTTTCGCCGTGTTCCCTCCACATCTGTCCGAAACAAAAAATTCCCTCCCTTCCCTCGTTTTCTGCTAGCTCTTCCCCTAACTCCCACAACTCACTTTCCCTCTCTAACCCTCACTTTCTCTCTCTAACCCCCCCTCTCTCTCTTTCTCTCTCTACCCCTCTCGATCCCATTTCGCCTCCCCATAAACCCTAAACCCCCGCCCTCGCTCAGATTCTCTCCGATTCCCCAAAACCTAAAGATCCACCTCTCTCCTTCTCCGATCGTCTCTCGGTAAACGGAGACCGCCGCTAGTTCGAGCCGGTCGATCCCTCTATGTCCGGCTGCGCTCAAGCTCCCAACCGCCAACCAGCGCCGGCGACGGCACCCACAGGCGGCGGCGCCCAGATCCTGCCGCCGTTGAGGCGTCACCTCGCGTTCGAGTCCACAAAGCCGCAGCCGTTCCCTCCCGACAATTACCACCGATTCGCGGGCGGTGCTCGCAGAGCTGGAGACCAAGAACCTGAAGCTATTTATGTTCGATCTCCTGTGAGTTGTTGTCATTTCCATGGATATCTGTGTGTTAATCTCACTGCGTTGGTTTGTTTGGGTGAATTGCGTTGTAATTGTTCAAAGAATTGAGGGTAATTCTGGTGATTCTGATTGGTTTTGTTGTTTAGGGTTTTGTATGAGATTGGAAACAATTTGTAATTAGAAGATTTGGATTAGCTCATAAATGTTATTTTTAGGTCATAAGCTAATATTGTTCACTTACTACTAAGATAGTGCTTCTTAAGATATTTTGTAATTTGGTGGACTTCTGAAAATATTTATACTTATGTTGTAAATTTGCAAGCTTGGCTAACCAAAATTGCAATTGTTAGTTGTAACCGGAAAAAAAGCCGACAATTGTAAGTCTAGTGCATAATGCAACTTGTCAAGGTGAAGTATTGTGATAAAGGTCGGCGATGAGGGGAGGACTGAGAAATGATATGGTGTTGATGTGCATCACACTTAACTGTGTTGCCTAATCTGGAGTGAAGGTACTGATTTGAAAGTAGACTTTCAAGTTGTAGTATTTGGCTCCTTTTTAGAATCAATTGTTTCTCGTGGCATGTGTTGGTTTCTTCATTGGGTGTGTAAATTAATATTATAAAAGTGTAATTGGGTATAATGACTAGTGGTTCCACTCTCCGTCCTCCATTTCATCTAGATTGATTTGCAGTGTTCATCTCGTCGATATATAGTTCATTATGTAGCATATTTTAACTAGTATGGTTGCTAAGTCGCCATATGCCTAATTTTTAATAAGAATTCTTTAACTTTGCTGCTGTTTTTCAGCAACTTACTCGGAAGGACACCAATGAAGTTGAGTACAGTGATTGGACCTGCAGTCCTGGAAATACTAATATTATTCAGACTCCCCTTCAGACTCCTCCAATGTCTACAAAAGGGGGAAGGGTAAACAATAGGTCAAAGGCTTCCAAGGGAGGTAGATCTGGACCTCAGACTCCTGTGTCAAATGTTGGTGAGTCTTCTTGTCTCTTCAATTTTTGCTTTATCTCTACCATTTTTGGCCTAACTTCGATGAATCACTAAGATGAGCTTCAGATGCAGCTGTCCACGTGAAAGAGGCTGCATAGCATCGTTGATAATAACAAAGTCTTCTTTCTCCCTGGATAAAAACAAATAGAATTCTCGACTATCTTGTTCCGTTCATATTGAGAATCTTATTGGATAGCTTCTGTCAACATGCAGGTTCCCCTTCTACTCCAGCCGGAAGCTGTCGTTATGACAGTTCCTTAGGTAATCTGAGCATGAGTTTTCTTCTCTTTGACATTTGTGGTTTTTAGAGTTCACAAGGCTGCCATATGGTGTCACTTGGAGATAACTGTGCTCAAATTTTCCAGGTCTGTTGACAAAAAAGTTCATCAATTTGATTAAGCGTGCAGAGGATGGAATTCTTGATCTAAACAAAGCAGCGGAAACTTTGGAGGTAATCATTTTCTGTCAGAGTGTATATACATACACACTAACACAAATTATCTGTAATACATACACACTAACACAAATTATCTGTATTTGGTGGTGTACTGATTGATGGTTTTACAAATGACACAGGTTCAGAAGAGGCGGATATATGACATTACAAATGTTTTGGAAGGAATAGGTCTCATTGAAAAGAAGCTGAAGAACAGGATACGTTGGAAGTAATCTTTGATAGTTTATTCTTAAATTTCCTTTAATTTTCAAGTTCTAATAAGATTTGGAACACATGGAAACTTACTCAAGGATGTGTTAAATGATTGATTAGGGGATTTGATGCTTCAATGCCAGGAGAGTTGGATGGTGATCTCTCTATATTACAGGTATTTCAATGTTGCAAGTTCTTGTAATGCAAAGTTCAGGAACCTATTTATTTATTAATTTTATTGTCCTTTGAATTGTCATGAGCATGGATTGTCTGTAGTACACAAAATTGCTGAACTCATGTTCACATGTTCACATAATGTTTCTTTATTTAGAGATTAACAATTTCATCTGTCTTAGATTGCTATGAAAAGCATGGTGTTAAAAAAATACTTTGACAATTTAGTAGCTTTGTGAAGGAAGATAAAAGCCTAAGTTGTGGTATATCCTGCAGGCAGAAGTTGAAAATCTATCCTTACAAGAGCGCAGATTAGATGACCGAATAAGGTATATGCAATTAATTTTCTTTTTGGAATTCAACTTCACCGTTTTGAAACTATTGAAAAGTGCTGACGCCTTCACCCTTGTGCAGAGAGATGCAAGAAAAGTTGAGGGATTTGAGCGAAGATGAAAACAACCGAAAGTAATGTCTAGTCCATTAACTTTTTCAGATAATTTTTGTCCTTCTTCTTTATGTTTATATTGTTAATCACTTGCTTCTATGTATACAAATACGTTCTTATCTTCAACTCTTACTCTAGGTGGCTTTTTGTGACTGAAGATGACATTAAGGGCCTACCTTGCTTCCACGTGTGTTCCATGCATCACTTCTAACACTGATTTCTACGATGGTTTAGTGTTTTCCATTATGTTAATTGCGCCTTTTCTTTTCCAGAATGAAACCCTGATAGCAATCAAAGCTCCACATGGAACCACCTTGGAAGTCCCAGATCCTGATGAAGTAAGTCAAACATAAATTTCTCTTAGAAGGTACATGTTTTATATGCATTCTCTCTTTAATTAATATTGAGTTCTTCCTTCAATATGCACCAGGCTGTTGACTATCTACAGAGGAGATACAGGATAATACTTAGAAGCACAATGGGACCCATTGATGTCTACCTTGTCAGGTATTGTTTCCTTTTTCTTCTTTTGTGAACGAAATATCTTTATACATTTGAGTAGGGTACTCTCCCTTTTTGTTTTGCATGTTTTGTGGATTATTGATGATAAGAATATCTGTGTTGGTTTGTATTTATTTACTTGTTTGTTGTTTTGTGTGTATTATTTGGTGTTTAGTCAATTTGAGGAAAAGTTTGAGGATGTGCATGGAGCTGAGCCACCTGTGAGCTGCCCAATGGCTTCTGGTTCTGGGTCCAGTGAACACCCAATAACAGAAGTGGTAACTGTTGAAAGCAGTGGGAAGGAAATTGAGCCTTGGCTGCAACAGGCTCATCACACGTGCTCTGATTTAAACGCTTCTCAGGAGTTTGCTGGGGGAATGATGAAGATCGTTCCTTCTGATGTTGATGTAAGTATAGTTGTTCTGACTGATATGTTTTCTTAGCTGCAAAGGTAAAAGAGAAAAACATCATTTCCAACACTGAAAGTCAACTTTTGAAAACGATAAGCGTTTTAGTGTAGCTTGCATATAAGTCTCAGATTTGAAGCTTGTTAACTGGACTACTTATCACCTAATTGATGTGAAGGTGCAACATAAGATGTGCATTTTTATTTGTTTGTATGATGATATCGGAAAGCTGTGCAAAATATAGTAAGACTTGTTACGTGGATACTTTTGTCCGACCTTTCAGTTACCTATGGATTTGAGCTATATGCTTGCAACCTCTGCCAGAAAAATAGAGCACACAGAGTTCCATATGCTCTTGTAAAAGATTTTTCAGAACCATGTATACTCTCAACAACATATACATTGACATAATATTTAGTTTCTTGCTTATACTATATATCTTTTTTGTTATTGTTACAGAATGATGCAGACTACTGGCTTTTGTCTGATGCCGAAGTTAGCATTACAGATATGTGGAGGACGGATTGTATCCTTTTTCAAAATTGTTCCACCTTTTTCTTTTCACTCTCTTCCCACTCTTGCGGTTTTCTTTTCAATTAAATTATTGTTTCTCTGTGTGAATGATCAATTCCTTCACTATGACAACTATAGCTGGTGTTGGATGGAATGGGACAGACATTCTTCATGCTGACTTTGGAGTGACTGATGTTAGTACACCAAGGCCACAAACTCCGCCATCTAGGGTTGTTGAAGTCCCATCTCATGCAGTTAACTTCGCTCAAAGGTGAATCTTCGTTTGTGTAACGGGGTATCTGTAGAAATTTCGTGTATCTACCATCAGTGGTCTTCCATCTGTGTCAAGTATTGCTAGGAGATGCAACACGGGCGAAGCATTTGGAAGAAGCTGACGGATGACTAGCTGGGAACTATTGTTATACTGTACAGTTCAGTATGTCCTTGACCGCTGTTGTAGGAATAAAGAGTTCATCGTAAAACTGTAGAAGCTGCGGATATTCAGCAAGGAGCGAAACATTGAGGGATGGCACGTCCAATAATGGTAGGCGACTCTACATACGGGAGAATAGTAATGCTGAATCTGGCTGTATGATGCATGCTCATTCATTAATGTATGCACACACCATGAGGGGGTTCTGTTTGGAATCCTTGTCTGTAAATGCTGTGATTTTAAACATGTCGCAGAGGACTGGCGTGCCGGATATTGTTAAGGCAGCAAAGGTTTTCTGGTCCTGAGTTCTATCTGATTTTAATGTTAGACGGCTAAAACATATACAATTGCCAACATCTTTTATCAACTCTCTTTTTGGTCGAAGGTGCATTTCATTCGAAACATTTTTGTGAAAAAATATCGTCGAAAACTTCTATATGCCCATTTTGGTATACTCCATTATTTAGAAATTATATGCGTACGACGTTTATCAATAGCATAGCGAAATGTTGTGCTACTGAAATGATATCCGCTAGTGTTATTTAAGGTTTAGTTCCTTTTAGAAAAATAATGGACGCCTTGTACGTATAAGAATTGTTCCATAAGTTTATAAGCGTCACTTCCATCATATAATTGAGTTTAGTTGTTGACTACACTCCGTGTGTTCTCAGCTTCCTATATTTGAAGTTTCAAGTTCAAATTCTCCGATGTTAATATAAATTATTTTGAAATGCACTCACTTCCCTTGTAACGTAGGTAATGTTATAATTGTTGATGATTGAATTATTGATTAACGTACATATTTTTTATAACATATTAGTTAGTTTAAAAATTTGGTACAAATTTTTTATTTAACTCGCATTATCCATTTAATTTATATGGTTCATTTTCCCCTTTTTTTAGTCGAAATATTCCCGTTATCAGAGACGCGGGCTAACCACCAGTCCAAAAAAAAAGGGGATAAATTGAGCGCAGCGCAGGCTCGTCCGGGTGGCGGGCCGCAAACGACAATTTTTCAAAAACAAAAAAGAAGAGTGTTTGTTTTGCGCGTGAAGACAAAAACGACGTTTGTTTTAGGCCAATTATTGCCAAAACGCAACCGCCGTGAACCCAAACCGCGTTTCACGTTCCACCCTCGCTCTCTCTCTCACACATTTTGTTCTTCCGCTTTGCTTTCAGCTGCTCTACTATGGACGATTCAACCGTACTCAGCCCACACCCGGCGACCCCACTACTCTCGTCGGGGAAGCTCCGCGGCAGAAACTCTATCTGCACATCCGTGGTGGTCCCCGCCAAACTCAGCCTGCTTTCCGCCACCACCACTCCTACCTCATCTACCAAGCTCCAGCGCCTCCACAACTCCAGCCTCCCCGCCCAAAACGGCTGCGTTTCGGGCCCAGAGCCACTCCAACTGGACCTGGAGCTCCTCTCCCTCAAGAGCTCCAAATCCTACACTTCTCTCAGAGACCTGCTCCCCTCCTCCGCCGCCGTGAATTCCCCCACCGTTGCCTCCGCCAACAACTCCGGCTACGAAATCTCCATTCGCAACCGCCTCGTTAAGCAGGCCGCCTGGGCCTACCTCCAGCCCATGTCCTCCACCTCCGGCCCATCTGGCCCAAACTTCCTCCGCCGCCTCTGCCTCAAGCTCTCCCCCTGCCTCTCCTTCTTCACCCACTGCGTCGTCCCCTTCCTCTCCCAAGCCCTCCGCCGCACACTCCGCTGCATCGGACTCGCCACCTAACACAATCTGCCACTTTTTGTCATCTGTATATATTATAATTTTTTTACTCAAAAGGAAACAAAATTGAATGAAAGAATTTGAATTTATATACGAATTCAGAGTTCGATCAATCAATCAATCGATTGCTGTTTCTGGGATTTGTACAATTTCTGTTTCTCCTTTTTTGTTTTTCTTTTGTGATCACATTCTAATCTGTCACTGGATTGGCTTGGAAGGCCTGAGCCGGAGCTTCTCGGTCAGCTCGTCAACCCGCCCACCATCTGTTTGATGTCGGGACTGAACCACCTTTGGGGACCTCGGAGGCTCAGACATGGCGCCGGTTGACTGTGGCGGCTCTGCCATTGGGTGTTGCTGGTGGGGATTCTGGCGGCCACTTGTTCTTTCCGCTCGGTTTGCGAAGCGGCACGTTTGGCCGCTGCGGTGCTGGCGCTGTGGCATCCTGCTGATCATCATCGAATGTCTGCGACTGTGAGGTTGGTTCAAAAAATCAATCAAACAAAAACAATGAATTTTCAGTAACCCCTTTCCCAGAAAAATTCAAATCTTCGTTTTTGTGCACGAGAGAAATTGTTTCTTGCTCACATGGCATGCATGAACCAGGTGAATGAACGATTGGATGGGCGATCAAGGATTCTGATGCATACTATACTTCGATCGATGCTAGAAAAACCCGAGAAGTGTATTGCATTGTAAATGTGGCCTACCTCGGTGGTGGTTTTGGCGGCGAAGTTTGTGGAGTTAGCAGCCAAGTACTGAAGGGCTTGGAGGAAAGCAGTGTGGCCGTATTGGGCGCAGTTCTGCCAGTAGAAAACAGTCAAATCCCAGGCTCTTGCTCTCATCTCAAGCAACTTCCTGTCTATGTCTGTCTCATGCTTTGCTACATATGGCCTCAGGAAGGTCTTGTACACAAACCCAGTTCCCTACAACCACATTTCAAATGTCATTCCAATGAATCAATTGAAAATTTGTACAACCGTGTTTATGTTGTCAGACTGTCCATGCGGATTCTAAATGCTGACGGACAAATGTAAGTCTAGCGCAAATATATGCACATTTCAAATGGTATTCCAATGAATCAAACTGAATATTTGTATAACAGGATATGTTGTCAACTGTGAATATAGATCACTAATTAGGTTAAGTGTTGCTTGAATGTTGACGGAATGTATGTTTGGTTATTTTCTAATTCACAGTCTGCCAACATAAATCTAGGGCAACGTTACGTGAATTTGATCAACCGCTCGAAATATGGGTTTCTTACCTGGGTCTTTGGATACCATAGGTAGATGAAAAGGGCCACCTTCCCCTCACCATACATGGGCAACCTTCACATTTTTTTCACAAGAGTAACTTAATATGGGTCACAATATTACAAATGAATGCTGAAATGATGAAAAATGAGTTTATAGTTAGAGAGTGACTTGTACCATGATATGAATACATCTCCAACCCTCTCAAGAACTGTAAGCATTGCCACAATTATCCTGTAAAAACGACATGTCGTTATTGCGTATTCAATTGGACTTTGGACATGTTATTATCCAAAGTTAATGACACCATTTAAACAACCATTAAACAAATTATTGGTTGAATTGCTACCAAGAAGATAACCCCATATGGGGAAAGACCTGGGGACGTTAATGTGGTGGTATCTCAAACCTATCACGCATCATTACGTGTTATAACTTTCTCACATAACGTCGCATGATTGGTTGGAAATACTGTCACATTGATGTAGAGAGGGTGCTTACGTACCAATATTGACACCAAAAGCGGAGTCTTCAATCTCAACTCTGTTCTTCTCCACGGTTTTATAACACTCAAATGCTGGGTATGCATACCCAAGAGACAATCTACACACCCCCAACCAACAAAACCAATATTAAAAAAAACAACCCAAATACAAAATCAAAGGTAAAGTCGAAGATCAAGATTCAAAAACTGGATTAACATTAATGACAGAACATTAACATACATAAGAATTCTGGTAAGCAAGCTTCCCAACATCTTTTGATTCCTTCACATCAAATACCACCACACACAAATTATATCCCTGCAACGCGAAACTAAATTATAAATTCGACCCCGAAATTGCATCACTTGGAAGCCCGAAAGAAAAGAGAATTTCAAGATTTCAGAGAGACGGACAAGCGATGATTGATCGAGTTACCTTCTCGTTGAGAAGGAGTCCAAAAGGAAAAAATGAGAGTCCGGGCGGAGAGCCAGAACCAAAATTGCCCACCATGCGAGGAGTTCCAACTAACCAGCAAGAAGGAAGGGATTAATAATATTCTTTGAGGAGAAATGGGGTTTTATTTAATCTCTGGTTCTGTGAAGGAAAATGTGTTTTGAGGAGAGAGAAACAAGAGAGAGAGAGACACACACACACAAATTCGCAGGGAGTTTGAGACGGGAAGAAATTGCCAAGTTTCTAATATGTTCTATCTTTGTCTATGTATCGATTGCTGTATATATATATATATATACACACACACTATGGAGTTTTGGGCAGTTAAGTTGTTAATCCACAACAGGATTAGATTAGATTAATATATGAGAGACGAACAGAGGTGTGGATTTTAAAAGAAAAAGAAAAATTAGAGGATTTCTTGCGATGGACGCCTCCTTACGATTTTATGCGAAATTCTGTGAGGAGGAAGGGACTTCTCGGGAATCGTCGTCAATGTCGGTACCCAGTCACCAAGGCGTAGGCATGTGTTCGACTTTGCTTATTTATAACTGTGTCTTGGCATCCGTTGTTCTACTTTAAAAATAAATAAATAAAAAAAATAAAATTTGGTTTTTCTGTTTGATATTTTGTTTTAACAATTAAGAACAGAGAATTCCACTAAACTAAAATGAAAAGAAAGATAAATAGACGGAGGGATGAGCGTTTAGAAAGAAGTAACATAGTCTTTGTTTAAAAGAATTTCTATTTTTTAGGTAAAAATGAGACTAGTTGTGGGGCTGTTATGCATCAGATTTTAACGATTCGAACTGTTTTCATTCATAGATTATTTAATCCGAAACTATTTACTCATTTGATTGACATAATGAAATTTCAAAATTTATTTGAACATAATATTCATCAATTTCTTTGAACTCAATTAGATGTCTCAAGCATTTTCGATTTAGTTAATATTTTGCAAGAATGATATATAGAGTGCAACTTGAAGAATAGACAGTTCGGATAATTGAAATTCATCCCATTATCCATTTAAATTTCAATTTATTACAAAATCGTCTAAAATAATAATCTATGTATATAATCGAAGAAGAATAAGAGTATGGTGAAACATTCAAAAATGTCATTGTAAATTCATTAAGTCTATCCGTATGCAAATGCATACGTGACAAAAAAGATTTTGTCACGTATGGATACGTATAACTACTTTTAGTTTTAAGTATTTTGTTTTCCTCAAAACTATGATTGTAAATTTATTAAAGTCCAACAAATATTTCAAAAAATAGTACGAATTTGTTGCGACGTTGCTTATGATGATAAATCTTTAAAATAAGAGTTGTGTGAAGTAAACTTAAGATAAGGAGTTGTGTGAAGTAAACTTAAGATTAAGAGTTGTGTGAAGTAAACTTAAAATGAAGAGTTAAGAGAAGCGTATAAAGCAATGGAGTTTAATTGAGTTATACGAACCATATTCGTATTTAGTGAACTATTTTATTTTATAGAAAACTTCATTTTAATCCTTAAAAAAGATGAGTTTAGATTATAACCATATGTAAGATTAAAATCCAATTTTAGTCCCTAGCACATTTAATCATATCATTTATTAGTTGTATTTTGATGTTTTATTTTATCCTTTTATTTTTATTTTAATGTATTAATTACATTTAAATTTAATTTTTATTTCATTCATCATAATATATTTTAATGTCTACATTTAGGCAACTAATTTTTTTATAATATATATTCCAATAACAATTTTGTATGTTCTTTATTTAGGTACATTAATACATTTGAATATTTTGGTATATCCATCGGTACAAACATGTAGTTACATTGATTCAATATAATGCATTTCGGTCAATATAATGTATTTCGTTATGTACACTTTGGTACACACATTTGAGTATTGACTTTTTGGTACATTAATTCAATTATTATATTTTGGTACTGTTGACCCTAGAAATTACAAAGCCTACGTGGTGCGCAGGCCGAATATATTCTAAGCTAACTACGTCCTTCGGTGATTGCGGGGCGTGCCAACTCGTCGACCGAGGCTCGGCCGAGGAGTAAATTTGATGATGCTGCGTTGGGTCGCGCTACTGACTTCTGCGTCTTGCGATTGCGGCCGAGAAAGGAACGCGTCTCGGCCTCTTGGGTTCTCGAGCCTGAAGACAAGGCTGCTATTTCTTACAAAGTTCACGAACCGAATTCGGCTTACAATGTGCCGAATGTAATAACTGTAACACCTCACCTCGCCGAGAAGGCTAATGAGATGACCTCGACCAACAAGGATTCAAAAACCCTTCTCGACCGAGACTTGGATAGGCAATCGACCGTTCTCGCCGCAGTGCTGTTGATGCCAACGGAAGATACTGCGAGACCGACCGACTCTACGGTGACAGAGCTATCTATGCCGACTTAAGATATCACCGGTTGCTTCCACAGTGCTGTTGATGCCAACGGAAGATGTGTGTCAGCGAAAAAGGAAAAGAAAAAGATCTCAAGTTGTGAGAGTTTGCGCAGGGCAATTTTTGTGTTTGATTTGCAGTAGCCTTTTTCATTGCTGAATGTCTTGTATTTATAGTAGCAGAACACCGAGCCCGAGTTCCAATCCTATTCGAACTAGGTTTCCCTCTCCGGATTAACATTACCTCGATCAGTCCTATCTCTGCTAGGACTACGAATCTAGTCCTTAACTGAGCCGGATTCGCCTTCTAGTTTTACTGATCTCGTCGAGGGTCCCTATTGTATTAGGACTCGACTTGCACTCTGATTTAACCGACCTAGGCCTAGAAGCCCATGAGCTGAACGCCCCATGACCCTCTCGCCGTACGTCTTCCCGAGCCGAAAGTGATTCCTCCCTCGGCCCAAACTGTTATTTTGGGCCCAAACATTGCCCCCTCGCTTCTGAGGTCCTCGGCCTAAAACCTTCGGCCGAGTTTCGGCCTTGAAGAAGCGAATCTACCACTCAGGATCCCAATACCCGAGTTCCAAGGCGCATTTATTGAACACGATCGCACGATCTTGATCCTGCTAAACCACTCGCCACGTGGCCTCCTCCAACATGGCCAATCCCCGATAATGACGTCTGAAGCGTGCGCCTGCCCGAACCGTCTTGCCATTATGACCACTATCTCAATCCGCGAGCCATTACATCAGTCCGTGAGCCCACCTGTCATCGTGCAGGCGTCGAACCGTCTTTCGTCATTAACTTCGCCGTCACACGCGATCGTGCGCCCCCAAAAACCTAAAAACCGTCGGTCTTCTCAACCGCATTTCCCAAATGTTCATCATGATCAACGATTCCTCCGGTCGATTTTGCCCTTTGTTTTGAATTTCGAACGATTGCTCTTCCCCCCCATAACTCTATAAATACCGAAATTCCCTCATTTGTACTTTTACGCTCTCAAACTTCCTGAAATCCTCTGCCATTGATTTCTAGTGCATTTCTCCTATTCCAAGTCTTCGTTTTTAAATCCCCAACCCAGACAACCCTTTTACTCCGTGCCTCTTTCACACAATGGCATCCTTCATCTCCAAGCTTTCCAGGGAATGTGACCAACACCAGAAGATTGTTGATCGGAGCTCGATCAAGACCATCCGGTTTGAAAACGACATGAGCACCCAATACCAAATCCTGGGTCCTCTCTTCAAGGCTACAATTCCGCCGACTATCATCGGCCTTCTCCAGGAGCACTGCCTAACACCCTTACTTCAAGGGTTTGAATGGTCGCGATGGGATGCGGCTAAACCCCAGGGCTCCTGGCCCTCGACGACCACATCCTGGGCAGCCTGGGTCGTTCGAATGGAACGACTCTTCGGCGAGCAATGGAAGGCCCTTGGCATCTACGACGCCATTCTCCTTTCGTCTATGGAAATCGTCCCCGACAAGGAGTTTCTCCAAGCCGCACTGTGCTTCTGGTGCTC